AAAAATTCAATTATTTTACTATTTTTTAAATAATAAAAAATCCGAAAATATTTCTTTATTTTTTTGTAAAATTATCAAAATCCAAAAATATTTCAGAATCATTTTATTTCTGAAAAAGAAATATAATTTAAATATATATTTTTTATTCTTGATTATGTAGAATATACTAATAATCAGAATATATTTAAATTCCTATACTATGTAAAGTAAATGCTATATATTACAAATTAGAAGAGTCAATCATTCTCAATTCATTTAAGATATTTTTTATAATAATTTTTTGTAAATAGACCAATACTTTCTAATAATAAACGACGATAATGACTCGAATAACGGAGCGGGATTCTACTCGTGCTCTATTTTCCCGCCTCCCAATTTCCCTCCCAACAATCGCACCAACAGGACCCCAAACGTCTGGCATGAGGAACCGGTGCGGGGGTGCCACTTGCGGGAAACCAAATTGAGATCGTGGCCTCAATACAACGTGTCCTTGCAAGCCGAAGCAGTACTGCATCAAGCCCGACGGGGTGAAGCGACACAATCAAATTCCGCAACGACGCGGTTTTCGAATGCAAGCGATGTCACGGGTGTGAAACATGGGTTTAACGTTCAAGTTTTGGGTTTGAGGTTCAAAGTGTGCGACCTTAGGGACACGCTTGTGGTTCTGGGTATGACTCATATAGGGCTTCGGAGAAACCCATAAAGTGTGTAAGTTGTGCCTTGTGGGCTTCTTAGTGATTACATTAATCGGTGCGACAGTGTTGTGTCTTCGCTGTTCCTATTGTGGGCATGTAGTGCGCAATGCTCATTTGGCGGACTCAACCCTTGGGGTCGTGACTCGCAGCAGCTGATGCCTGCGATGGTCAAGCATGGCCAGCTTGTCCCTAAGGCGATACAGCACAGAACAACTACAAATAAATGGTCTCGTGGTTTTTGCATGATGAAAGATGGCGAACTCTTGATCTGCTCGGTATAGTATACTGACATAAATACCATGACTGCCGCAGTGCCAACGGGAAGAGCAAGACCGATAATATCATAGGAACATCGTGTGTTAACCCACGTTTATATTTGCAATGCGATGCAGAACGCATATATATAAAGTAACTTACATCCGAAATCGCTTTTTGAAGGCTAACGCCCACCAACTGTCATGCAAAACCCTGAGATCAATTCTTGAATGCAGTGGTGTCCGGCTTCGCACAGCTCAGGAGCCGGATGTCAAGCAGCCCCGACACTGAGCAACACAAGAAGACCAAACTTAAGCCGCAGAACTGGGTGACCAAGCCCCAGGCTGCGCAAGCTCAAACGCCTGTGATTTTCTGTGCAGTTTCCCGGCTGATAGTTCTGAGCATTTAGTCGAGGCTTGAGGGTGGGGAAAGTCCAAGTGTTGATTCAGGATACGGGGCAGTTCAAGAATAGGGCAAGATTAGGGTTGCGGGTTTGGGATTAAAGGATCAAAACACCTGGCAGAGTAACGCAGCGAGTACGCAACTGCACGCCTCATCAACATCCGACAACGTGGAACCCGAATAGGTCAAAACGCTTTTGCTGAGCTCTTAGTATAAAACCCTTCTTGAGCCCCCGAAGCCCGACGGCCCGAAGAGGCCCGAAGTGGCAGCGACTCCTCGTTGATAAAAATTCCGAAAAGATGAAGAGAGGTCGGGCTGGTAGGTTGAAGCTTCGAGCTTTTAGGCCGGGGAGTTGGGGTTTAGAGCACATAAGGGCTTGGCTTGGAGTTTGAGGTTCAGGGATTCGGGTCAAAAAGGTAAAGGAACTTGTTGCCGGCTTTCATGATCGCAAGGCACCGGCTCCCACCACAGCAGAAAATACAGCAAGGAACCTTCTCGCCGATTCTTGCCGATGACGTGCTGTCTCCATATTTGGGCATATGCGGACACCACGGTTGTTCGCAAAAAGTTTTGATGCTAAAATAGCTTTAGTTACCTACTTGTTGCTGGGGGGTTACAACCTATGGCTTCGCAGATTTGGAACTGCCGGTGCACTAAAGGCTCTTTTCTGGCCCATAACTCTGGCACACAAACCCCCCATTCAATGCAACTGCCCGATCAGAAGAACTATATGACAAAAACTTCCAACAAAGATCAATTAGCTCGAATAAACGTTAACTCCCACACTGATCTTGCTCAGTTCCGGACGTGCGCAGCAGAGGAGCCTCTTGAATTCGTTCAGGAGGTGGCTCCTCAAACCGAGTAGCTGGGCATTGCTGGAAAAATGAGGATGCGAACAGGTTTGTGGTGGAGGGCATTCACGTCAATAATCTCAGAATCAAGGACTGGCCACACATCCCCGTACAAACTGTCAGTGAAAGCCGTCCGAGGGCCCTGCCAAGAGCTGTCCTGTTAAGGATGGTTTCTGTACAGGATACAGGGGCATGAGTATTTCGACCCCTATGTTGCCGAAATGCTGTTGGTACAGACGGAGGGTTGTACTGCTGATTTGAATAGACTCAGAACATTGTTCACAGCGGCTGGCAAAGTGCAAACAGCCAGCGCCACTCCAGAACCGCATGCTGATTGCCGAGCGCCCCTATCATGAAACTTCACGAGAACTCTTTAGCAAGTTGCACACAGTGGTCCTTTGACGATGTTCGCTTCGCACATCTCGTAATCTTACATACCCTTGACCCGCAACTTCAAAACCATAAATAAATCCAGCTTTGATGATCAGAGTGCTGTGGCTGATGCTTCGGCAGACTCACAAACATGTCGGGGACAATGACTGTGCGCCGAAGAAGCATTTGGCCAGGTCACGGTGCACCCCGGCGAAGACCGCCCACCGCGGGACCCAACCCCCCGAACACGCCTATCGCGAATCCACGCCCTCAGACTCTCACCTAGTTCCGCAAGATAGTGAAACTCTCGCGCGATCACATCCGAAGGCCAAGCAGAGGCATGCAGAGGCTGTTCTTGTGTCGATGGAGATCACAGAGCGACGAAGCTTCACAAGGAATAACAAATAGAGTTGGCCCAGGGTTTGCGAAACAGACTCAATATTACTCAGTCTCGCTGAAGCATCCAAGCCCTTACAACTCATTTTTTCCAACGACGGGTCTGCCTTCAACCTGCTGCCCGAGCAAGTCTACGCCTCGCCATCAAACCTCCACCTAGGCTTACGCGCGAGATCGAGGTCGCCTCCGCCGCGGCTTGGGGTGCACCTCGACATTTCGGCAAGTTGTCTGTACATAGGTGTAATTTAATTTGACTGGGGTGGCAAGCTGGTTGCAATGGTACTGCAAAGCTTACCAACAACAAGCCCCAGCTGCCGAATCACAGGATCCACAGACCTTTGTATATTAACGCTTACGCGCATGAATTTTGCACACTAGTGGGATTCCCTGGCCTGCTGCGGGCTTCAGCGGCTCCTTCGAAGCTTGCTCCTGCCGGGGAACAGCAGCAACAGCATGGGCACATGCAATCGCTTTAAGGTCCTTTGATGAAGACAAAAACCTTTTCAGAGTTCTGTAAGTGGGTCCTAGTTTGGGCTTGCAAAAAAAATCTTTTCTGCAGGGGGATTTTTCGATGTGATGTAGAATACTGAGAGAGAGAGAGATATATATATATATGTGCAATTGTGTGTATATACACATCCAGCAGGGCCCGAATGGCGAGCAGTGGCTGGAAGATCGTTGGCCCCAGAACCACGGCAAAAGGCCAGGTTCGTGTGCGCGGTTGTGTATTCCAGCATAAATAAATACATGCACAAAAATGCTCGTACGCCACGGTAGAGAACGCACTGTCCGAAACGTGGGACATAAAAACATGCGACACACATGCGTGCTTACATACATACATACATACACCCATCCACCCATCCATCCATCCATCCATCCATCCATCCATCCATGCATACACACACACACATACACACATACGTGCATGCGTGCATGCATGCATGCATGCATACATACATACATACATACGTGCATACACACGTCTGTGTGCGTGTGTGCAGGCTTTGGTCCCGTATAATATATGTACATGCAGCTAAAGATCAAATCTTGAAATAACGAATTGTGGGACAGCGTAAGGGCATGGGTCATGGGTGCCTTGAGACGAGGCAGTTTAAGAGTCCTAGACCCTAAGTCAACCAGATGCATAAACAAGGAAATATGCGTATAATATGGTGTATAAACAAAAATCGACATGACTACATAAATAAATAACATCTGTATATGTGTCCCCACATGCACTCTCGCTTGCTACTTACCTGGTTTAGACACATTTAACTTGCTCACATATGCTTGGATGAGGTGCCTTCAGCCTTTCGGCTCATCCCGTGGAAACCGGTCTCTGCGCAGCGACAAGCATAGAACAGACGCAAATGAGATAAAGCAGAGCTAGCTCAAGGGGAGGAGCCATCGCAACAGACTAAGGCATCTTCTCTCCTAGTCTGTGCATTGGCTGCGCGGCCTACTCTTGTCGAAGCACTGCGCAATCCTGCGCTCTAAAGAACCCCATAGCGCTAACTTCGTGGCCAGCCTTGTTGAGCAGCAGCGCGGGCAGGGCCTGACGGTGGTGCAATTCGATGCTCGACACTGCTGCCGCGATGAGCCCGGCCAGAAAGTCACTAACCGCCGAGGTTTTCTACCTGTGCATTTTTCGTAATTACACTCACTACCGCCCTGATGGAAGTCTGTTTCCCGATTCGGCACCAGGGGCCACAAAACAATGCAGTAGTGTTGGTCTTACTGCATGTTGTCACTGTTTGCTGGAGGATGCATTACCATACAGGCTTCAGGTTTAGAGTTTAGGGTGAAGGAGTCCGGGTACCCTTGTGGTGTATACTTTGGCCCTGACAATGCTGGTAATATGTTCGAGCTATTGCGAGAAAAAACGAAAGCTAAGAGCGACCTTCCCTAGCTTGGGCTTGTGAGTTCCTAGGTGCCCATCAGTTAGTTGGCATTGCGCACCGAAGAGAGTCCGAGCAAAGGGTCGCATCGCACTGGGCCGCGTAGAGGGGATGCGATGTATGGCTTGTCAAAACATCTGGAAGAAACTCCGCAGTGCAATGAGCTGCCCCTCCACGAATAGCTTCCATCCCTGTGGGATAATGTCTTGCCAGATGAACTGCGAGATCTGCCTGGCGCTTGGCTTCTTCTGAGCGAGCCTGATCGCAGCGGTGAAAAAAGTTTTCCCTCACTGCTCGCGTGCTGATGTGAACGCGTGGCAAACTTCACTAGCTTCTGCTCTGTCTGTGTCATTGCGGCACGCAGCTTTCCAACATCTACATATAGGTCCATACATCCATAGGTCTGAATATACGAACAGTACTGCAGACATTTTCAATCACTGCCACACCAACACAGCGGTGGAATCCCTTTGGCGGGCAGAAAGAAGGCAACGCCTGGCCTGCTGCAGCTTTCGCACTCCCCGGCGGGCCAAGAAACCACGCACCAGCTTGTTTGCCAACCTGAAACTCACGTCTTCGGTCCCTCTACAACACACTTACACTGTGCGACTAAGCTCTCGCTAGCATGGCTCTGCCGGAGGTAACTCGAGATCGCGTTAAGCGCGAATGCAAAACAAGCAGCCTTGCCGCCCGACGTATGGAGTCCACCTTGTGCTGGACCGCCCTCATCCTAGCATACGCCTGCAACGAGGCACGATGCCCTTGACCAAAGCCGCTCAACCCCGAAACAGGCGCCTGAATTCGAATGGCTGCATCGGCCTGCCTCCTGCTGACACAGATGCCGCTAAACAGTGGAATTCTGCTTCGGCCTAGAACGTGCGCAGCCTTGCAGAGATGCGGATCGACTGCACCTCGCGCTTGGCCGCCCGAGCCTGCAACGAAGCATGCACCACAGCTCTTCGCCAGCAACTCCTTGATTGCACAGGGAAATTCACCAGGAACAGGCCCGCCCACCTCAACTCGAGAAACCCGTGTGACGCAGAAACCCTGACAAGCCCGCTCGTGGCCACTGGACGACCTACCCACATCTCGAATTACTCTGCCATAAACCTTCAAGGTGCCTCCCGAGATTACAAAAGTCGCCACAGGACCAACAAAAATAAGCATTAACGGCGACAATCCCGACAGCAGCCGCAGCCACAGCCGCCGAAGCAACAGAAGCAGCAGCAATTAGCCATCCCGCCCCACCTCAAACCGAAGTACAGGAAACACCGCAAATATCGATGTTTTTGACAGCGAAAGCCTCGTAAGCACCGATGTTTCCAACACATGCTAAGACGGTGGAGACGGCGGCGCTGAGCCACCGATGCTTTCGGCACATGGAGCCGCATTAATATTGTGTAAATATTGATGTTGTCGGCTGTAGGGTTTGCCGTTTACAAGCTGATCGACTCAGGCGGGCACAGCAACAAAAACAAACGAACAGGTCATCGGAACAAACCCCCCAATAAGCTGGACGTTCTTCTAGCACTGCAATCGAAACATTGCAATCATTACAAGCTTTCGCCACCAGGCGCATACATGCAACGAATGCAGGAATCAGCGGAATGGACGCCAAGCTCAAACGTTTTTGTTTTAACGCGTATACCCATGCAAATGGCCACTTTCTGGGCGCCAAAACTCGAGCTATGGCATTTCCACCACCACTACCACCAACATTACCACACCGCCGTTCCAACCACCAAGAACAACAACAATCACATGAACAGTCACCACGACACCATCACCAGCAGTATCCAGCTGTTATGTAAGCGGAAACATTGGTGCGGAACATCAGCAAAACTGATTAACAAGGACATCAGCAGTTCAGTCGACACCACCATCACCACAACGGCGAGGAACAGCAGCATGGCAGCGACAGCAATAGCGATGACCGAAACGGCAAAACGGCAAAAAACAACGACTGTATCAACAACTGCAAGAACTGCAATGCAACATGCACCTAACACTAACAAGAGCAGGACACAACCGACCAACAAATACAACAACGACAGAAGAACATCTTTTTCATCAGTGGGAGGTTAATCGGCAAGAGCATCATCTGCGACAACCCCCCTATCAGCGGAGCCGAAACCAACAACAGGCAAATAAAGACAAATACTAGCTACCAGCGGCACAGTCACAACACCATCAGCAGATACGACAATCATGCAAGGCAAAAAACTGACAGCCAAGCAGTAGACGAGCACCAACAAGCAACCATCTCTGCCCCTAGTATTGTTATTAGTATCATCACTACTATTCTTGCTATTGTTATTATTCGTACGCTTATTCTTCTAAGTATCATTATCCTTGCCATCACTTTCATCATCTTCTTCGTCGTCAGCATCATCATCACCATCACCACCTCTTCAAAGTGGAGTCGGGCTTTGGCATCCTCGTGTTCATGGTACCATGTGAGCACTTCATCCATGCTGGCTCTCCAGCTTGTTGCTACCATCTGCTACCGGGCCTTCTGAGCCTTCTGCTTCTTGACAGCGCTGCGGCCCATGTTTGAAATGCGCACTGTTAGGATTCAACCTATGGTGGGGCAGGGATAAAACAGGAAGCTCAAGCGGAACAGTCCATGCCGAAGCTGCGACTCATCGCCTGCCAAAAACAGTACCAGCCAAACAGCCTCGGTCTCGTTTGAGTTCAGATGGAACAAACCCTGTCATAAATTCACGCGGCGCCCCTGTCAATAGTTCTGCGAGTTCCGAGGACAAAATCTTTAAAATATGGCAGTATTCAGCTATACTAGAGCACTAGTACATCGCTCACATTATTGGATTGCACTGCTGCCGATTCAAACAGGAGCAAGCTGAGCCAGAAAAATCCGCCACGGCAACTGACAGTCATTGAACCAAGCCGACATACTGCAGAAACATGGAATTTCAACGGGACAAGTCGGAGCGCTGTGTGCGACGAGGCCCACAGCAAGGACCTGCAAGCCCAATGATGTTGGTGGCGGTGCTGCTGCTGCTGCTGATCGTGATGATGGTTACGGTGCACTAAGACAGAGACAAGCACATGCGCAATTAACAGTGCGAATGAGAACAACGCAGATGCCAAATGCGGAACGTTTGACAGGGTGAGAGCGAATAAGCAAATCGGCAAACCAGGAACCGCAGTTATGGAGCAAAACCAAAGCATACGATGCAATTTTATGGTAATAGTGTAGTCATAATAGCGTAGTAATTTCCCAATGCCGTTTAATGGCGTAGTAATATAATACTATAGTGTAATATCATGGGAGTGGGGAACAATTTCCTTTACCATGGGAGAAAATCCATCCATCGGTAGTCATCATATTAGTCTAGCAGATGTGAGGTGATGTGATTCGTGACAAGGAGTTTGCACGGTTCAAGCCTGATGTTGCACCCCGACTACTCGACATCAAAGCAGCGCTCACATGCACAGTGCCCGGATCATTTAAGCAATCTGCTCTGCTGCATCGAAGCTATCGGTTGGCAGTTGGAGCTTTGCCGACCCGCCGTCTCAGAGAAGCACACCCAAATACTGGGCTTTCGGATACCTGGCAGCATGCCCAGTTGCCGTTCCTACCTAAGCCACCTGTCATCCTGCCTCTCAGCTAGTTCCGGCCAGTGCACCACGAAGCTGTCGGAGACCAGATATGTGAGCTTTCCAGTCATTGACCTCTCCGAAACTCAACAGCTGGGGAACAGACCGGCCCTGTGGTACACACCTGTCGATCCTACTTTTACACCACTATGCTAGTGGATGATGCCTGCTATGAGATAAACCTTCGAGCAGCCTATCATTTTGCGCATTTTCGTTTCCGGCCTGGGCCTGGACCTCCGCTCATGCACCTCTAACAACCCCTCATGCTCATGTCGTAATGCCGCCTTTAGCAAGCACCTACACCTACACGTAGCTGGTCCGGAGCAAGGTACTTTGACTGCACAGGAGCCGCAGCCTAGGTCCCAACCCTGGATGCAAATTCCTTGCTGTGGAACTCAGCACCACCGGATTCCGGGGTCAGTCTGCCGCCCCGGAAGCCGCTGCGCAACTCTTACATCCGTGCCATGGCGGCTTTTCGGCGAAGTAGGGGTCTGACAAACAGGAACACCGTTGTGATGCGGAAGGACACAAGAGCATCAACATGTTGAGAGATGCTGTCCGACTGGAGTGGGACGTCATCTGGTTGAGCAATTACGGGAGAGATGAGCCGTGTTCTCATCGGCTGAGACCCAGGCAGTGACTTGACCCGGCAGACGCTTTCGACCTCTGATCATCCGGACAGTCTTGGGCGGTCGCTGCAATTCTCCCAGTCAACCCTGTGATAATTCCAAGGCTTCGGCAAATACAAGTGACAAACTTCGGAAAGCTACTAGCTCGAAGAAAAGAGCAGCAGCCACAACCTTAAGGAGAAAACATGGTGAAGAGTTGAAGAGCTTTTCATGCTGGCAGAAGTCTTTGGTCCTCCGAGCCCGAGGCTGGAATGCATGTGCCCGGCCCGTTCACAATTAGCACCTGAAGCGAAACCTCTGACTGACAACTGCAAGCATCATGCCTTCCCACCTGCGGGCGCAGCTTCCAAATGAGACCCAAGCAGGAGGCCAAGGCCTGCAAAGCTGATCAACGGCACAGGAACATTTCTTGCTCATGTATCTATATGAATCCTTCTGCGTTTCGGTGTTCATTCTCTTCTGGGTCGCTGGAGGGAGGCCTTCATGGTCGAGAACAGCGTCGATGTCCAGGATTGGCCTACCTGCATGCTCTGCCAGACAAGGTAGAGTACGTGATACAATGTCTTGTAAACTGCTGAGCACTTCATGTAGTGTGTGCAGAAAGGCATGTCACTGAGCAACCATCAGTCATGGTCAACAAGCGAGTCAGGCATGATGCAGGTGACAACATGGCACGTGCTTCCACATATACCGTAACAAGCAACATGATGCATGCAAGCTACCACGTACTGTCACTAGCCAGTAGCCACTTGTGCGCATCAATCTGCACTGCAGTTTTGTTGGCCTGTGCTCGATGAGTCTATGCCACGTCTTTGGAACTATAGCAACTTGCAGACTCACACGAGTGTCGGCACCTCTCGGCTTCTTGGAATTGAGTGAAAGCGCTCGAGGTTTTCTGCCAAGTCAGGGCGTGTAGCCTGGACCTGCAGAAGAGACATGAAGATTGACATGTGCTGTCTATGTCGGCTGTGTCATTGATAGAGAGTGGCGTTGACATCGCCTTGGTGGTCCCCATCAGCTTGAGATGCACCAGCAAACCTACTAGTCCATGACGCTGGACAGCACATGCTGCACGCCTTCTTCAATGAAGTGGAGTCTGTGTCACCCAAGATGAAATCACACCTGTACCTTTTCGCGAAGTTGATTCGAGACTGTCTGAAGTGCACGTCCAGGCAATACTCGTTCGAGCTCCTGTCCTTTTACCTACCGCATTACCACTGGCCGACACAAGCACAACCCAGGTAGTGAGTCCACACGGGATCAGAATGCGTCTTCGACCTGGAGACCGAAAAATCATTACAACCGGTCTGCTGCAGTCCAACAGAAGCAACCAGCTTCGAGTAATGCGCACTTGTCTTGGTCCAAGTCTTTCAACAGTGACAGCATCTCCTCAGGCAGTCAACGTGCAAAAAGGAGAGGAAGCACGGCGTGCATGTCATGCATGTTCCGCGTTCCGCTCGTTTACTCATGCAGCAACATGCAGCGATGCTGTCCATCGTGTGACCTCCAGAGCCGAGCACGACTAGCGAGCGCAGTGGCAACCGCCTCGAAACGGAGCATTCAAACTTCACGATTGCTTGGCAGCCTGCACTGGGGCTCGGACGTTCCGGCCCATCTCCGCCTGTCGATCGCAGCAGTTGACTCAGAATCCTATATAGGGTCGACACATTTCAGTTCCTGTTTTCCGTGCGATCCCAGGAGATCCGCTCGAGCATCCACCTTATCGATGCTGACACATCTTGACACTTGCACACTTGGTTACTCTCGACACTCGAAGCTACTGTCTTCTGTTGCTCCGAGGCACCAGAGCACTCTTGCTGCCAGTGTTAGCCACGCGCATACCAACCTGAAGTTTTGTGGGGACAGGCGCGAAATTGAAAACCTGCCATTTCAATCATGCTATCTGCCTGTTTACGGAGCGCTCCCTTGCAAGACCTATTCACCACCATGAACAGGAGGCTGCCACATCATCAGCACCTAGACTCCTAGAATAGGAGACTTAAGTGACGCAAGTCTCTAGATGCTTTGAGATGTGGCAGCCGACCTGGCCATGGAGGTGAGAGTGCTGTTGGACTGGTGCAGTCGCGAATGACGCAGGTGGGCTTGCTGAACATGGAAGGTGAAGCAACGCAGAGGCAATCAGCAGCCCTGCTGATCCGAAGACAGCGGATCGATCGTTGGAGGCCCAACAGACGGGTCCCTTCGAGTGCAGCAGTGGGGGTCCCCATGTTCCTGTCGGAGCAAGTGCTAGGGAGCAAACACGACAGCTAGCATAGCTTCAGGTCATCGCCATCAGTAGCTCGCTGGCAATATGGGCATGCATTCTGTTGACCACAATCTGCTGCACACATCTCTGACTTGGTGCTACAACATCCAGAAGCTACGAGCTAGCTTAAGCTTCAATGCCTGCAACCTTGGTCTGAAGCTAGCGGTGCTTCTCTGAATCATCTGTGCCGCTACTGAGTGGTCCTTGATCTAGGGTTTCTATCTGTGCCTGGTCAGGAGCGAGCATGCAAGTTGCAATCATAGTTGCAGCATGGAACATGTCCTGCAGAGCAGATGACCGAAAAGGAATTGCACTTCGCAGTCGATTTTCCACTCAGGATTGATAAACTCGCCGTCTATGTCGTGAGCGGGAGCTCGCACTCGCTGTACATAAGATCGTCGCTTGCCGACACTCACTTCAGATTCCAGAGAGCTGGGCCGGGCAAGCGACTGTAAGAATGTTCTATCGTGGACTGACTGCGCTTTAGCGGCAGTGGCATGGAATATGTACGGAGGTGAAACAGTCTAAGGCGAGCCTGTTCATTTCTGTGGCTTCAGTCGCCGAGAAAGTGGGAAAAGCAAACATCTGGGTGGCCCATGCAGCCACAGGGTGCCAAACTCTTATCGTCGAAAGTTCGATCATGATGTGATGACGGGCTACTCCTGCACACCCCGCAGATCATGAACAGGCTCGACCACTACCATTGAGTTACAAGTCCCTCTCGAGCGCCAGGACGCAGAGTGTGCATCAGGTTTTGATGCCGATCCACATCCTAGTTTGGCACCTAGGACTGAGAGCAAACACCACCGTGAAACAAGCAGCCGAACAAGCCCATTAACGGCCTGAGGCGGGAGGTTCGGCTTCGTGACGAAGCCAAGGCCTTCCAAAGTCGAAACCTAATCTTCAACTTCAGGTCATGAAACAAGCTCCATGCATCTGCTGCTGCTGCTGCCCTTGCAAAAACCAGAAAACACCATTGTCACAGTCGGCGAGCGGATAAAGCACCAGCCGCATGGGGCCAGGTGGTACGGAACATGAACTCCGCACACTCTCGCGATGCAGCTATGCGCTTGTAAATCTCGTTGTTTCTCAATCGTTTCCTCGAAACCCACTCGTTCCCGGGTCGTCGGTTGCAGGCAGACGAAGGCTCGACGTCACGGCGTCGAGTTTGCCACCCCCATCGACCCACCACCGCCCCGCTTCATCTCTGTTACGCAAGGAGCAACAGCAACGGCAGCACGAGCAGACGTGCGGACTGCCACTGGCTGCATGGATTTTCCTTGCCACTGAGTGCAACTATCGCGCTCTCAGGCTACAGGCTTCTTCTGGCAGGAAGAAGACAGGTACGATATGTTAGGATTCGAGTCTACACAAGCTTGTACATGCTTGTGCTGCGTGGCCGTGCAGCAACATGCAAGAGTACGGCCAGCACTGAACTCGCTCAATGATTTGCTGGCTCCCAATTGGAAGTTGAACCGCCAGGCATACGTCGCCTTGATGGATCATCCGGTTGCTTCTGGCGCAGGTTTCTGCGCTGCCTGGCATCAGAACCACGCGAACAAGGAGGACCGCGCAGGTACTTGCACAAGTAACGACGCAGCAGAGATCAGCTTGATGGTTTGCACCTCCGCCTCCGACTTGACACCAGTGCCCTCAGCTCCTTCAACTGCTGCTGCTGCTGCTGCTGCTCCTCCTTCTGCTGCTTTGTCTGCTCCTGCAGCACCCTCTAACTCACCCGTCTCTGCAGCTGGCTGCTTTGCTTCTTCTGCTTTTTGCTGCTCCTGTGCTGGATCTTGCGTGGAAGGCTCAGGTGCATCAGCAGTAGCTGCTTTTTCTCCACTCTCTGTTGGAGAATCCGCAGCTGCCTGCGTCACACCAGAGCCCTCTGTGTCCATGCCCTTGCCTGCCTCACCTGTCGCTGCTGCTTCTCCCTGTGCTTCTTCTGCCGCTGGGGCTGCAGCACCCTCAGCGACCACCTCACCTGTCTCTGCCGACTCTGCAGCGGGCTGTGTCGCTGCTTCTGGGTTCGTCTCTGTCGCTTCCTTCTGCTCGCGGTCGGTTGCTTCTGCTTTTTGTTCCTCCTGTGCTGGATCTTGCGTGGCAGGCTGCTCAACCGATGGTCCAGGTGCATCAGCGGTAGCTGGGCTTTCTCCACTCTCTGTTGGAGAATCCGCAGCTGCCTGGGTAACACCAGAGCCCTCTGTTTCCATGCCCTTTCCTGCCTCTCCTGTCGCTGCTGCTTCTCCCTGTGCTTCTTCTGCCGCTGGGGCTGCTGCTGCAGCACCCTCAGCGACCACCTCACCTGTCTCTGCCGACTCTGCAGCGGGTTGTGTCGCTGCTTCTGGGTTCGTCTCTGTCGCTTCCTTTCGCTCGCTGTCGTCTGTGGCTTCAGCCTGTGGCGTTTGTTGCTGAGGTACTGTCGCAAGTGTCGCTGTTGGAGGACCAGCGAATGCTTCTGCATCGCCAGCTTCAGGTTGTGCGTTTTGCACATCCTTCTTGGACTCATCTGCAGCCGCATCTCCGGCATCTCCTGACCGTGATGGCACAGAACTCTGAAGCTTGAATCAAGACACAGTCGAGAGAGAGGTGACGGCTCCTGCCGCTCGCTTCTTGGCATCACTGCCCGCCTGAGCCAGCTTGTGCTCGAGATCACTCTGCGCGGGCATGCCAAGAAGAGCCAGGGCCAGTGCTGCGCTCCGCTTGCCAGCTATCCTCGACCTCATGACAATGCACTCATCGTCACAGGCCAGTCTGGCCTTGAAGATGGGCCTTGCATCTTGTCGTCTCGGTGACAGCATGACATTTTGCCTGCCAGAGCTCATCAAAATCCAGTTCAGGCCGAGGCAGCAGACGTCTGCTATCCGTAGGTTTTAATCAGGAAACGAAGCACACTCTCTTGTCTTTCTGGATCTTTATGCTACGTGCAGGGGCAAGGGCCCATGCACTGATGCCTGGAGCGTGCTGCCGTAGCATCACTGTTATCTTCAGAGCGGTCTTCTCGAGGAGCACCTTGTCGCGACAACGATTCAGCATCGTGATTCATGAGGAGCCAGCCAATAGAGCAACACAACCACGTGTAGGGGCCGAGCCGTCCTACGATCATGGCCATGCAAAGAGAATGCACACAAAGCGAGAAACCAGGTCACAGGCGACGGATGGACGAGCCGACCGGACGTTTCGGTTCGTGTGCCTGCTGCCGGTATCCAGCTGAAGCATGCTAAAGTCGAACGTGCCATGTGCGGATAGAACAGAGATTCACACGAGGCTGTCATAAAGCAGGAAGCGAAAAAGCTGTCAGTGCGGATACTTCTTAGGTAGAGTGTTCGTGCCATAGCGAAGCTACGATGCCAAATCAGCTACAAGTATCTGCCGTAGAATGATGGAACGAGGTTTCCACACAAGCATTCAGCGAAGTAACAGCGTTCTCGTTCCCGTCCTCGGAGGACTGTGTGGGCTGTGCGGGCAAAGACTCCGCGGGCGGAGGCTGTGTGGGCGTGGTGCCGCTCACCGACCTCCGGTGCAGACACGAGCTTGCGCTTCGGTGAGTCCTAGCTTCTGGAAGAGTAGATGTGCATACATCTTGCAAACCTGCCGATAGGCAGAGCTTAAGCATGCTCGATGGGGCATCTGCATGCTCGCGAGACGAAGACACAGGCCCTGGCTTCAGGAGATGATCCTGGATTACATCAGGAGTCATATACCTGGCAAGGTGCACATTACAGGACCGATTGTGGCAACTTGGCTCTTGCCTGTTGACCCGCTCCCGACGTGCAGAGGCCAACTGCTCCTGAAGCTTTGTCTGTCCCACTGCTTTGCCGAAGCCCTTCAAAAGCTCGTGCCGGCAGTGCGCCAATGCCCCAGCCTGCTCAAGGGCAACCATCTCCTGTCATTCGGAAGACCACTTCCCCGCGCATGCATCAAGGTTTCACTGTGCATGGACTTCACGGTTCAGGGATGTCCAGGGCTTGCAGTGTGTCCAACTTACGGCGCATTGGCATCAAACGAGAACAGACTGGTCTGCTCATGTGGAATCCGAAGACGAAGCGACGTTGAGGTAATGATTTCGGTGAGCTGAATACTCGACTAAGTGGACTTAGAGCAGGTGTGAGAAGTACCTTTATTGGAGTAATCTTCAGCGCCTTCTCGGCCTTTTCTCGCCGATGCAGCTCAGCGGCTTTGCGTGCCAGCTCTCTTCGATAGGCCTGGCTTTAAGGGAGCAGCGAGCCTGTGGTGCGTTGCGAGAAGCTAGTCCGAGTCTGCCTCCACATGCGGTAAGGTCTTCTGAACCCTTTCCATTCGCTCCTTCATGCAGCCGCGTATTCAATGCGCCATGCGTCGTCGGCCATGTCTTAAAACAATTCTGACAGATCTCTCAAGTCCTTCTCCTCCAGAATGCGGATTTCTTCCTCCTCCTTAGCCTTCCTCGTCAGCACAAATGCAAAGCAACGTGGCCCCTCTGTCGCATGATGCACAGCCAATTCTCCACCGCTTTTCATGTCCACGCTGAGGCTCCTCTTCTTTTGTCTCATGTGATGCCGAACACGCTGCTGTGCATCTTGCTGAGCCATATAGTTTGGAGGCTCCTCCTGTACATAGCATGTCGTTTTTCCTTCACAGGGCTGCGATCGCAATGAGCCTCGCCGTGGACGGCTCGAACTGGAGAAGGTGACCGTGCCTGGCAGGTCTTGAAAAAGAATGTTTTGCCCTGTTGTGTGAGCGGGGGCTCGTCGATGACCTTCTCTCTTCCAGGTCGGACCATCCCTCTGCCGCGCTTGTGCACCTCGGGCGGCCCCGGTCCCAATATGCTCCCATGCGTTTGAACATTCTTTCTCTTCGTCTCCCCTTCTCCTTTCCTCTGTTCTGTCGATTCTACGGCTCTACGCCGAGTCCACCAGTCAGTGCAAGATGGCATGTCATGGCCTGTGAGTACTCGCAATCCACCAAGCACGTGCTCTTTTGCTTTATGGTTCGTGACGAGCGATAATACGGTTCCTGACATGTGCATGCACGGCCGAGAGTGCCTCGAAGCTCGATGTGATACAATACAGTCAGTGCACCGGGAACGACAGACAGGGGCCTGCCCCTTCAGAAGTGGGGCCAGCCGGAGAGCTCCCGATAAGTCGCATCCCCCTCCTTACATGCGATGCACTGGTAACGCTGGTTCTTGGCAGCGAGAAACGAATGAGCGGTGCGAGAGTTAGTATTCGTTGACACCGGGGCTTGGTGTAGAGGTGTGTGTGCGCGCGTGGTTCCAGCTGATGAGCTAAGCCAAGATTGAGACTTCTGGGCTGGTTAATGTACACCTCTTGCAAAATTTCCTACCCTAAGCAGCTGAAGAAGGACTTTCCCGGCAGAGTGGTCCCACCGCAGCATTCGTTGCTTCCCCGGTCAGTAGACCGGTAGCATTCTCGCAGTTGCTCTGCTCCAGGTCCGGGCCGTTACCCCCTTTACACAGTCGCACGTCCTTCCTACTTTGCTTTGGATTCTGAGCTCGCGCGATTGGCTGTTGCATCTCCCTCCCGCTATCTGCCGCTCATCATTTTCCCTCGCTTTGCTGTGAAGCCTCTCTGTCTCTTAGTCAGCGTGCTGCTCGAAGGACCGCAGTGATGAAATTCTCCATGAAAGCGCTTTCGGCCTCCAGAGACTGGGTGGGCGTGGAACCGTTCTCTGACCTGGAAGCATTTTTTGTGCAAGCTGTCAGCTTTTGTTACCCCCCCTTGCACGAGGCCCGCGCTTCAAGAAGTTTTCCTGGATGACCTCAGGCTTTATATACCTTGCCATCGGAGGCGCAGGAATGCCCTTGATCGATTGCGGCAACTTGGCTCTTGCCTGTTGACCCGCTCCCGACGTGCGGAGGTCAACTGCTCCTGAAGTCTGTCCCACTGCTCTGCACGAAGCCCTTCAGCAGTTCTTGCCAGCAGTGGCTCCATGCCCCAGCCTGCTCCAGGGCAGCCATCTCCTGTCATTCGGAAGAAGACCAGTTACCCGTGCAGGCGTCCCATACTATGGATGTTATAGCTTCTGGCAGCGCGTTGCAGCACTGGGCGCTTTCAAGCCAGAACGAAAATGAATACTTGAGCAGGACGATCACCTTCATCACCGTGCGTGCCGCATTAAATTTCTTGCCAGCCCGGGCTCCTTCTCGGCCTTTTCTCGCCGGTGCAACTCTGCGGCCTTTCGCGCCAGCTCGTGGCGGTAGGCCTGGGAACCGGAGTGCAGCCTGACTGAAGGAGCTCAAACCGTGCGTCTGCCTCCACATGCGGAAGGGTCTTCTGAACGCGGTCCGCACGCTCCTTGTGGACCGATGTGTAGCTCACCTTGTTCCTCTCTCCAGCAAGCAGGCACGAGTCCTTCTCCTCCAAAATGCGCATGTGCTCTTCTTCCTTAGCCTTCCTCGAAGAGGCAAGCACTGCCCATTCACGTGGAGAACGGCAACGAGAGCACCAGCAGAATCAAACACAGCTGGCCACTCCTCCGCTTTTGCCTCATGTGATGCCGGACTCGCTGCTGCGCATCGTGCTGGGGCATGTAGCTCGGGGGCTCCTCAAGGAGCCCGGATTTACGACATGGCTGCTGAGGTTTGGTGGCCACTTTTGTATTCTTGACGCTCGCGCGCGCTCGCGATGGTGCCTCGTCGTGCACTGCTCTCTGTGGAGAAGGTGACCGCGCCTCGGACTTGAAAGAACGGCAAGTTGTATCACGGAAAATCAAGCTGACCCGTGTTGGAACATTGCCGACCGGGCCCAGGAGTCCACACCTCATCCGAATCAAGAGGGCTCGGGGACGCGTGACCACGGCGCCCCGGAGAGTGCAGCAGTGTCCCTTCAGGGCGAAGAATTAGACGGAGAGTACACCCGGGCTTCTGCAAGCTTCGGCATGCTTCGGCAAGCTCGTACCGGTGCCTGCAGTGCCTGTGTCTTTGTCTTGGCCTACCTGCGGGAAAGGAGCACGGAACACGTGGATTCACAGCTTTTCTATGCCCTTCTCACACACTCGCTCTCGCTCTCCGACCTGACGCAGCAACCGGAGACGAGGCAGCGAGATCACGGCCTGCAGTTGGAACAGCCGCAAGGCGCCAACATCTGAGCAAAAAACGGCCTCATTACCGGATGCTTTCGATGGCTCCTTCAAGACTCTGCTAAGAAGTGCCCGAAGACGGAACAAAGCTTGACTGGCCGCCAATACATCTCAGGCCCACTTCTACTGCTCCCTCCCTGGTATGTTCTGGAGTTGTCTTGTTCTGCCCTCTCCTCGCAACGACGTGCCCTTTGCATGTCGGTTGGCTGGCCAGCGTGTTTCGGCATTGTCAGTGTCGTGACGGGATCACTGGTGTCTTGGCTTGCGGAAACGTCTGTTGATTCATCCAACCGCTACTGTCTGCCAGCAGAACCCCCGTCTCCTGATGAAGCCCTCTGGCGCCATGCAAGTCGAGCTTTGGGAGCATTACCTGCAGGCCAGGGCAAAGCAGGTTGCTTGTTCGAAAGAGCATCTGCTCTGATTTGCTGTGATCTTCACTCTGAGAAGACTGCTCGAACTCAGCCGGAGCCGGGAAACATGTCGAAGTTAAGTTAGTGCGATCGTGACTGGCCAATGCGAGTCCATCGCCATGCAGCATTTTTGTCTGGAGCTAGCGCAGTGAATGATGCTCTCTAGGTCTCGGGGCTGTGAAGCTGTCTCTGCTGAGCAGGAGGGCATGCTACGCCTGCTACGCTCCTTGAGCGACTGCATTCAAAAGCCGTGCCAGAAGATATGCAGCAACGTGTGGATCCCCCGGGGTGGTCACGAAATTATGCAGGCCATGTCCAGGCTTCCGTCTGTGCACGGTAGCAAGTGTTTTCACCTTGCTGCGTGCTTTGCAACATGTCAGACACAGCAGCTCTGTTGGCAGAACTCACTAACGAGTTACAGTGGTCCTTTCGGAACATAACCCTTTGCAATGGTTGCGACAACATATTTTGATGGATCCCTAAGCGTTGTGTGCTTCTCTGCGACAGATTCCAAGAGCTGAGAGGCATGCGAAGAAGGAATCGTGAGAAGCGCTTTCACTGCTTCATCTGAAAGCTGAAGACCTATTGACTCAGCTTTTAACATTCCAGGTGACTTGATAAGCTCCGCAGCAGCAGCCTCTGCCTCTGCAGCAGATAACTCCTTGGGTAAAAATTGGGCCTCGCTCGGCGGGCCGAAGGAGCCATAGCCCGGACCAAAGCCGGGCCCGCATCCTCCGTATCCCATAGCGCCAGGCGGGTGCTGATATGTGGTGTCGCCATTCGGGTGCCAGCCGGCATTGGCATGGAATCTCCTCGCGTCTCCTGAGCCAGCTCCTATGTGATCTGGAACTCCAGGCACTGGAGGTCCACCCATGCCGAGGTGCTCATGCCTGCAGTGGTCGCCGTACTTGCACCAGCCTGACTTAGCAAAAAACTGGCAAACCTCACCGGACTTCGCCGTCGGTTGTGGCTGCAGTTGTGGCTGCATGTCTGGCGAAAGCGCATGTGCATAGCGACAGGCGGCCCCGTATTTACACCATCCGGCCTTTGCAAAGAACTGGCAAGCTTCACTGGGATCTTTCGGCCCGAGGCCGTGCTGAACCTCGCCTTTGCCACCTGTTTGTGGCCCAGCGAGGTGTTGATACCTGCAGCTGTCGCCAAACTGGCACCAGCCGGCCTTGGCAAAGAATTTGCATGCTTCCGACGGATCTGGCGGACCACCCGGCCTACCTCCCTTTGGAGTATCAGGTCCCGGGATGTGGGCGTGTCTGCATCCATCACCCCATTTGCACCAGCCTGTCTTGACAAAGAACTGGCAAACCTCGCCCGTCTCTGCACCGGAAGACAAGGCTCCACCGGCATATGGCTCTGATCTCACATTGCTGAATCTCCCTGGCAACGGGCCAAATGACATCTCAGCAGGAGGGCTGAGCTTGTCGCTGGACTCGCCTGCTGACCTTCTACATGTCTCGAGCCGAGATTTTTGTACTGCAAACGCCGGATCTTGCTGTGAAGGACGGCGGTTGCTCTCGGGTTAGAGGGCAGTGAGTCTACGTTTGTTGCTCAGCGACATCCGGCTTGACTACATCGCTTCTTCCCGTTTATGGAATCTCCGGACCCGGAACTTCAGATGGTCAGTCTCCTGACCACCACTGCCTGCATTTTCTGAACCCAAGACCCATGATGTCATGCACAAGGGAGTGCCTTCAGCAATTCGCAACCCACTATCGCGCACGCCGCTTTCCCTGTTTTGCTCATTGCTCAGCGAAGCGATCCAAGCATGTCGGTAAGGCCGCGGAGACTGGAAGAACCAGAGATGCCCTGCAAAACAAGCTGTTCTGGATCTTTCTGCTGCAAAGCACGTCAGTGAGGAGCCTTCAAAAGTGCGCTGGTTTTCCTGTCGGCATCAGCCTGGCTGCCGGTGCACTCACCACATCAATCGGCTCTAAGCCTAAGTGCTTGCCTCAAGGGTCTGCTTGTTCCAGCCAGGGCCCAAAGCCTTCGAGAGTCCGTCTGCTGCTTCCTGACGGTGCATGCTCGACCGTGACCGCGCACGCCGACGCGATCGCTGCTAAAGAAGGGCTCACTGCCTGCATGTACGGATCGTCGTCGTCCATATCCATGCTTCCGCTGCTCGGACTGAACAAGGATTCTCAAGCACTCGACTGCGATGTACAGCTGGCCATGCAGGCCCGAAACTAGTGTTCCTGGTGTATGACAGTGCTCTGGCACTCGTTCTGGCCTTGGCTTCTGAGACTCCTTTGATGGCGCCGACCCGCTGTCGTGCGTCATCATTGTTCGCATTTGCTCATGTAGGTAGGCCTGGCAGGGAAAAGCTTGGAATGAGCGATGTGGGCATAGCTAGCTTCCCCGAAAAGTGCCTCGTTGAAGTGTGGCCGGGTGACCCCGTGTGCCTCGGGAAGTGTCATTCCAAAATATCTTATCATGTGAATAGGTGTAGATGTTGCGTCTGCATATGCAAAGACGACAACACACACACACAAACAGACACGCAGGTTGTGCACAGACAGACCCACACATATACATACATACATACATACATACATACATACATACATACATACATACATACATACATACATATATATATATGTACACATCTACAGCCTTATACACATACCTTAGTTATACTACACACATACATTGCAAAGAGAGTGGCTGAGTGCAAGAGAGATCGAGAGACATATACACGCAGACAATTGGCGTGTCACAGAGAGAGTGTGATCGTAGGGGATCGTGTGTGCATATATATATATATGTCTGTGTGTGTGTGCATGCACGAGGGCATGTGCGTGGGTGTTGGTGTCGGTCGACCGCAAATCCGGTAACCAGAGCGGTTGAATCTGAATCGGTGACCAGGAACGGCTGAATTGGAAACCAGGGCGGCCGATTCGGAAAACAGACCGGCTGCTTTCGAAACCAGCAGATTCGGAAGACAGAACGGCTGATTATGAAAACAGACGGCTGATTCGGCGGAAACCAGACGGGTGATTCGGAAATCAGACGGGCGTGATTCGGAAGCCAAGAACGGCTGATTCGGAAAGCACCGGTAGCATAGACTCAGACGTTATCAACGGTTTCCCGGACCCGCGCACAATTCTGATGTCCGGTTTCCGATGCGCGCCAGTTCCGATGCACGGCTAGTTTCTGATTCAAGGGCCTGTTGCTGATTTCTTAGTTGTTCGTGTGTGTGTGTGTGTGGGTGGGTGGGTGTGTGACATCCTGGACCAAGGATTTAAAATAGAACGCAGGGGGGTGCCACGGGACTGCAGAAGACTGGCAATGACTGGCGCCAACGAAGACCATTCTGCTTTCCTGTGATATCAACTTGAGACATGAAATGGCAAGATGCAAAGTCGCAAAGCCCAAAACCTCAAATCAGAAGGAGGAGGATTGTAGTTCTGACATGCTACCCGCTATCTCGAGTGTCGATTCAACCGCTGTGTGGGTGGGAGTGGGGGTGGGTGGGGTGGGTTGGAGGTGGGAGTGGGTGGGGGTGGGTGCATGTGGGTGGGCGGGGAAGGTGGTGCATCAAACACATGCTGGAGTGAGAAGCCAAGCGACTGTATGTAGACGGTGGGCATCAGTGGGGCAGAATTCCTAGTTAAGAGACCGATCAAGAACGTCTGCCTGTGCACCAGGCCGGCATCGAGTGCGTGCATCTGTCCATGCAGATTGGTTCTGTATTCTGTGCACACTGCTGTGCTTTGGTGGGTGAACACCGCTGGGAGCAAGTAAGGTAAGTCCAGCGCTGCACCCAGCAGCGCAAGCAGACCGACGACCCGGCCGAACATGATGCCTGCTTGAGAAAGTGGACTGCTTGCATCAGCTCAGAGCTCATTACATCATGTTTTCATACAGAGTAGCGCGTTGCTGACTCAATCGTCTTTCGCGGTGCCGCCTGCCAGGAGCACAGCCGGGTGCCTCTTCGTTCCACTGATGTCTTGAGCCAATGCGTAAGCGAAGCCCGCACCCGAACATAAAGTCGTTCGGAAGCAACCAACTCCTCATGTTCTTTGAACATGTGACTTGGTATTTCGTATTACTCGTATGCGATTGGAGGTGGATGCTTTGGGCATGAGGCTCTTCTCAGGGCTGCAAGCTCTGCCGAAAGACCGTCCTTATTGCTGTTGCTATTGCAGCTGCAGTTGCTACTTTCTCCCGCTCAGTCTTACTCTTACTCTTTCTCCTACTCGGGTTCCCACTCCGACTCCCACTGCATCTCCGACGACGACGACTACTACTACTGCTGCCACTACCACTACCTCCTCCTCCTCCTCCTCCTACTCCTCCTCCTCCTCCTACTCCTACTCCTACTCCTACTCCTCCTCCTCCTCCTCTCCTCC